ACTAACAAGGGACAGCCTATTACACCTCTGAATACCATAGAGTTTCATCACTCATTTGTTCATCAAATATTATTTTGCTTGTTATGTGTGAAGTTCTGTAATACAAAATAAATTTTGGTCTCTGGCTTGAATGAGCACTGATATAAAGTTGTCCTGACTATACAAGGACAAATTTATCCTTCTCAATAGAATCACTTGCTAAGAACTTTTGAAAAGATATTAATGTTTCTGTAACTCTCCCCCTCACAAGTCTAGTCTTAAAAGATAGCTTTAAGCATTTCAATATTTTCTGAGTCCTTTGTCCTTTGCCTCATGATACACCTGGTAACAATAAATGAACATTTGTGGTCTAATGGGTAGATCATAATCATGAGTACCATATGATTGTTTTTTCACCTCTATTTTTAGGGTTTTACTAATAATAGCCATTTACAAAGAGTGTGTAATTTACAATCGTAGGGAAAGTAAACATAAATGGTCAGGGTCCCTCGACCGGTTTGGAGTCTTGCTGAGCATTTGATGTAAATATGTGTGTGTGCCAGTTGCTTCTTGGTTATTGTCTAATGTAATTGCATATGTGCACCCAGGTGTCTTAGGTTATCGGACTTAAGTATAAAGGACAAGCGGCTCTGATTCACAGGGCCCTTGGTATGCAGTGCGAGGCCACTAGGGCAGCTGCTGCTAGCTACCTGAGCTTGCATCCGAATAAAGCCTATTTGTTTTTTACCCACAGCTCCCAGTATCTTTTCCTATTACCTCGCTCATGGACCTGCAGGTGAGGGGTTTGTGACCCAGTCTGTACAACAGGTGTGAAGGGCCTGTGAACCCCCAGCCCTAGCAATACAACACTTATTATCTAATTTAATTCTTAAAATAATGTTGCGAAGTAGACAACTACACTCCTTGGAAATTTGAAAATGAGAAACCTAAGGCTCAATGCCATTCTGTATTGTGCTCCAGTTCATAGAACTGGTAAGTTGCAAACATGGAATTCAAAGGTCTCTCAAAAACCACATTCTTAACCACTGTACTAAATACCTCATTATACCAATTGCTAACACATGTAAAGTGCTTGACTATGTGCTGGGTGCAGTACCAGGCATTTTACAGATATCATCTCAGCTTTGATGGAAAGAATGTGGTGATGTGGAGGTAGAATCAATGATGAGAGGCAGGGAAGGCTACTGACCCTTGCTATTCAAAGTGTGGTCTGTGGTCAACTATGTGCTGGGTGCAGTACCAGGCATTTTACAGATATCATCTCAGCTTTGATGGAAAGAACGTGGTGATGTGGAGGTAGAATCAATGATGAGAGGCAGGGAAGGCTACTGACCCTTGCTATTCAAAGTGTGGTCTGTGGTCCAGCAGCATCACTGTCACCTCAGAGCTTTTTAGAAAAGCACTATCTCGGACCTCACTCAGACCCACTGAATCAGATTCTATTTTAATAAGATCTCCAGGTGACTTTGGAGCACATCAAAGTTTGAGAAACACTGCTATAGAAGACCTGTGAAAAAACCTAACCACAATTGTGAGTAGATTTCTCTAATGCAGTGATTCTCTAAATGTGATCTTTGAACGAGCAGCATCAGCTTCACCTGGGAACTTGAATGAATGTGAATTCTAGAGCCCCAACCCAGGCCTACAGAATCAGAAATTCTAGGGCAATCACCTGTTTTAGTCCTCCTGATGATTCTGATGAATTCTGAGGTGTGAAAATCCTTGCTCAAATACCATGCAATCCTTACACCTGCACTCAGCCAGGAATGGGGAGTCAGCAGTGACACCCTGTGGAACCAAGGGAAGTTTGCATCTTTTCTGTGCGTGTATGTTTTTTTTTTTTTTTTTTTCCCTAGTAGAAGGATAAAACCATCATGATATTTGTTCTTTGCACTAAAAGTAGAAAGCTGATTTTCCTGCAAACTACTTGCTTTCAGGTCCTGTGCCCATTATGGTCATACAGAGTAGCTTCTTAGACTTAACATTTATTCACTCATCACCAACTAAGTGTAAAGGATTGCAATAGAGACAGGGCAAAAGATATACAGCATATCAAATTGGTCCCTGGAGCAATCTAACAGTTATAACAGTATCAGGTACCATTTGAGTGTTTGTTGTGTGGCAGGCACTGTGCTGAATTTTTTCCAAAGCTCAATCCTTATGTGCTTGAGATATGTTTTTCCCATTTTATGAGAAGTAATGTGACGACTGATTCTAGTTTATGCTCTTAATCACACAGCAGTGCTTCTTAAAGTGATCTCCAAGAATTATTATTAGAATCACTTAGTATGCTCATTTCAAGTGTAGAACTCCTGACTCACCAAATCAAATCTCTGGGAGTATGACATGTTTAACAAGTACGCCAGGCAAATTTCACACACTGCTGTTTGAAAACCACCAAAGTACTCTACACTGCCTTCATCAAAATATTGTCCTTCAACGTATGAGGGTACTTCAAAAAGTTGATGGGAAGAGTTGCATTATCTCAATTTCATTTTTTCACAAGCTTTTTGAAGTACCTTCATATTATAGATCTTATACTGAAAAGGATTAGCATCAAAGATTTGTAGAGCAGGGGGAAGAGAAGATCGAGTTTCTACTTTAGGAAGATCTATGTAGTGGCACTAAGAACGAATTACAGGTTGGTAGCGGTAGAGACCTATTTTACAGGATTATCAGGAAAAAAAATGTCACACTGAGATACCAATGCTAGGTGATATTCTAGTTCATTTCCTAAGTGACTTGCTAATTGTATGCTATCTCAAATTGTCTTGGAAAATGCAGTTTTAACAGTTGCATGAAATCTGAGCTAGAAATCTGGAACCAATTACTAGGAGGAGAACAG